TCAACGCGTGCACTTATTCTTCTGTTAGTTTGTCCAATGTATGTGGTGAGGCAGGCAGTGCAGGGGATTTCATATACTCCTTGGTTTTCTAACTCGATTTTGTCTTTAGGGTTTCTTAGGATGGTGGATATTTTTCTGTTTGTGCAGAATGCTGTTTTAATGTTGTGTTTTTGGAGGATCTTGCTGATTTTGTCTGTAGTGCCTTTTATATATGGGAGGAGGGCTTTGCCATTCTCTTGTTCTCTGTCTTGGATTTTGGTTGGGGTTTCTTTTTGGATTAGGTGAGTAATCTTCTTTCTTTGGAATCCATTGGCTGTTAGTACGTTGGTGAGAGTGTGTAGTTCGGTTTTTAGGTGTTGTTCATCAGCTAAGCATTTTGTTCTGGAGACGAGTGTCTCGGCTACGGAATTGATCTGTGCTGGGTGGTGGTGTGAGAGTGCGTGTAGATAGCGGTTTGTATGTGTTTTCTTCTGGTAGATGTTGTGTCCTAGGGAGCCATTGGGTTTTTTGTATACCAAGACATCTAGGAAGGGAAGTTGATTGTTAGCTTCTGTTTCCATGGTGAATTGTATTTTGGGGTGTAGGCTGTTGAGGTGTGTGAGGAAGTTGTTCAGTTTTTCTTTCCTGTGTGGCCAGATTATGAAGGTGTCATCTACGTATCTGAGCCAGAGTTTGGGTTTGTGATCATATTTTTCTAGAGCTTGTGTTTCAAAGTGTTCCATGTAGAGGTTTGCGATGACAGGTGAGAGGGGTGATCCCATGGGTGCTCCTTCTATTTGTTTGTATTTTTGTCCATTGTAGGTGAAGTATGTATTGGATAGACAGTGGTTGGTCAGATCTAGATGTGCTTAAGATACATCGATGACAAATTTGTGATTTGGCCCCATGGAAAAGAAAACCTAAACAATTTCCTAACACACCTAAACAGCACACACCCCAAAATCATGTTCACCGTGGAAACAGAAACAAACAAACAACTACCATTCCTAGATGTACTAATCTACAAAAAAACAGATGACACACTACGACACAACATATACCAGAAGAAAACACACACCAACCGCTACCTCAATGCCCAATCCCACCACCACCCAGCACAGATAAACTCTGTGGCCAAAACACTAATTGCTAGAACCAAACGCCTGGCAGACAAGACACACATAAAGACTGAACTATGCACCCTGACTAAAGTACTGACAGCCAACGGCTTCCACAAAACAAAATCACCGGCTTGATCCACAAAAACACACTGAGACATAATAGAGACCCAGAAGATGAACAGACCTATGGAACAGCTGTCCTGCCCTACATAAGTGGTACTACAGACAAAATCAGTAAGATACTACACAGGCATCATATCAAGACTGCCTTCAAAACAGACAGAAAAATTGCAGCCATCCTTAGAAACCCCAAAGATAAAATTGACCTGGAAAACCAAGGCATATATGAAGTCCCCTGTGCATCATGCCCGGCCACATACATTGGACAGACCAATAGAAGAATGAGTACCTGCCTGGATGAACACAAAAATTCAGTAAAAAAGCTGGAACACACTTCCTCACTAGTCCAACATATGAAAGTCACCGGTCATAGCATCAACTTCAATGGCACCAAAACCCTAGCTACAATAGAAAACCCCAGCCACAGAATTATCAGAGAAGCCATGGAGATTGAAAAAAGACCTGAAAGCATGAATAGAAGAGATGATTCCACCAGACTGTCAATTATTTGGAAGCCTGCACTCACAAACAAAAAAATCTCCACACCACTACCCAGGCAAACACCTGGGCACAAACAGATCCCCCCTGATATCTCCAGCTCAAACACACCCCAACCAGGCACCCAGATGAAACCTAACTTCCTAACAAATGATAGCC